AGGTGAATTATATTTTATCCCACTCCAGCTATAAAGCATCAGCATGAAATGTCCAACGGCAATATGTTAATAAAAAAAAAAAAAAGTTGCCTTTAAGGTGTGCAATGCCTCCTGTAGTCCTGTAGATCATGAAAAAAAAAAATGAGATTAGTTTCTTGAATCCACTTCATTCTATACACTCGGATTTAGTTGTAAGAGCATGGTGAGATTGGGATTTTTATTTATTTATTAAAAAAGAATTGTTAGTTTTTTTTAATTATGTTGTTTGCAAAATTGCCTATTTCTATACAATTCCAGAGAAAATCATAAATTTATTATTATATAACAAAGCATGATAAATTCGAGGCTATTTTGCACAGCTGAAAAAATTTTACTGCACAGGCCAGTTGCTTTTGAATATTGGAGCTTTGCTAGAAAATTCATGCTTTGTACAATTATTTTATTTACAATAGATTTCTTTAAATGTATGACTTTTTCTTCATTTTACGTATTTTAATATTTGGATCAACAGCACTTATACAAAATTAGTCATTTCTTCTCTATTTCTCTATAAAATTGATAAACATGTACATTAATTGTTATATTTCATTTATTTTTCAAATCTTTATTGATTTATACTAAAGTTATAAATATATATTCCACTATAGAGCCATTTTACTGTTCACAGTAGTAACCATTTTCTGCTATATAGAGCATGAAAGAAAAAATTAATATGGAAATATAAATTCGTCGATTATAATTTTTGTATTAAATGAATAAAATATATATATATATATATATTTTTTTTTTTTTTTTTTTTTTTTTTTTTTTTTCTGTTGGCATTAAAGACCTTGTAGATCATTGATGGCCTTAATAAACATTCTCCATCTCTGCCTATCTTGGACTATTTCTTTCTAATTATTGGCATGCAGCTCCATTATATTTTTAATTCAATCTATCCATCTTGTTTTGGCCTTCCATGTGGTCTCTTGCCTATTTCATTATTGTTTAGAGGCTTTGAAATTTATTTAAAATGGATTGATTGCTCTGAGCTACCTGCCCTGCCCTTCTTAAGCTCCTTAGCTTTGTATCATGAGATATTGATTGACTGATAGCCGTTATTCATTGATCCTTTCCCTCTATGCGTTAGTATTCTGATCGGAGATCACTCTTATTGTCGTGCAGGGTATTTTTCTATCCAATCTTTCAATACTTCTTTTAAGGGTGCCGGTTAGTGCCCAGCTCTCGCAGTCTTATATAACAACTGATTTTTTCATTGCATTATACCTTCTCAATTTCAGATTTCTTGGATTTAAATATTTTTGAAAGATAGAAGAAAGCTCTGTTTAGGCTCGTTATTTGCTGGTCTATTTCTGACTGTTGGTTATTCATGGAGATTATTGTGGAGTCGAAGTATTCAAGTTTGCCTAGCCTCTTGAACAATTTCCCTTCTATACAGATCCTTTTTACGGAGTGGAGTTTTCAATTTATCATATATTTTGTTTTATCTTGATTTCCTTGTAGACCAACGTGATTTGTTTCTCTTATCAGAGTTTGAGCGGGTCTCTCGATGTTCTCTTGATTGCTCCCACGGAGTGCTATATTATTTGCATAATCGAGGATTTTATGATTCATTCCAACATGCACACCTCTATTTTCATGTGATCTTATCATCTTTTCCAACACTAAGTTGCACTACATCGGTGATAGTCCATCTCCTTGCAATAATCTGGCTCGAACTTTGAAGGCTTCAGATATGTCAATCTCGCCAACTTCCTGGAAACTCTCATTTCAGTTGTATTATAATACGGACTACACTATGTATTTATGTATTGTAATTATTAGTGAAAAATTAATTATTGTTTTAATCACAATTCCCTTTGTGTATTTTAGTTTATAATTTAATTTAACACATTGTACAAATTTCATAATAGTGTTTCATTCTTTATAGTTCAGAAATATTGTATTAGCACCGAATGTAGCACATTAAATATTGGAACCCCTCCTATTCTTCATGAAGTAGTTGCTGCTAATGATTGCTTGAAGCTTTCTTTCTTTAATTTTTCATGTATTTCATTAAATTAGTATTATTATATCTTGATTTTTTTAGAATATAATTTGAATTTCTAATTTGTTTCAATTAAAATCCTATTTGGTTTCTGTACAAAAGTTAGCTATCAAATGCAAATTTTACTAATTTAATAAGTCAGTTTAATTGTTTTTTATAAGTTTGTTTCAACGCTATTTGATGTAAATATCTTTATGATAGTTATGTTATTAATCAGGATTTAAATTTTAACAAATTATGTTGATATAGGCCTGAAGTGTTCGCTTCATTTTGATAAAGCTAAAGAAAAGAGATGGTCTCATAAATAGGGTAAATAGTGGCAAAACTATTTTATTAAAAGCCAACGTTTCGACCCGACTTTGCAGCTCTTCTTCAGGGCTAGAACGGACAAGATACCATAAGATATAGAGAATTGTGGAAGTTACATAGTATTTAGACAAAAAATTATAAACAATGTGAATAAGCTAATTAAATTATAACCAGTAAGTACTTTAAAATGTCAGAGTAGTAGGCAAGAGACCACGTGGGAGGCCAAAAACCAGATGGATTGATAGGATAAACAAAGATAAGGCTGAGCTTCATGCCGCCAACTGGAAAGCAGTAGCCCAAGATAGGCAGAGGTGGAGAAGGCTGGTTCAGGCAACCAAAGATCTGCGAGGTCTGTAGAATCAACCAAAAAAAAAAAAAAAAAAAAAAAAAGGCCATTAAAATATTAACAGAGTAAGCTAAGTAACAAGATCCTTAACTGAAGTAAATAGATGGTAACCATTGTTGTAGTGTAATATATAATATATGCAAATGTGAATATACTTCTACAGATCTATAGGAGAGATTGAAAGAAAAGGAAAAAGGATATAATATGAAATAATAGACATAAAGGAATGTGGAGAAAGAAAAGAAAACCAAAAAATAAGTAAATAAAAATAGAGATTTACAAGTGTGTTCAGCTAGGAGTTTTACATAGAACTGGAAAATCAGAATAACGGCAGGTATTGGGGAGTTTGCTGACCTGTTTGTGTAATGGAAAAAAACCTAGAAAATTACAGGATCTAAAATTTGAAGATATGGATGGATACAAGGGAAAAATACTATATCCATGAAATAATAAATTATAAATATATACATATACATATGCGGGTTTTGTATTTCCCAACATAAACCCGCATTTCCCTACATAAAACATCCATAACTTCCCGGAACCCTTCCGCCTCCAGACTATCAGAACATGCCTTAACCCTCAACCATTCTTTTGGCTTTGAAAAAACCTCTATTCTCTAGGAATAGGAAAAAAGGCTCATTTCCAAATCCATCCACATTCAGATGGAGCAGAATCCTGTTAATCATAAAGTAGATAAAAACTGCATTTCTTTAACATATAGACAAATTTTAAATCTTATAAGTGAAAAATAACTTATATATTACATCGTATTATTTTTATCTACTTTCAATTTTTATTGATTAATTCAATTTAATTGTTCATTATTTTAAGTATTTTCACTCTGTGTGATCTCTCTTCTATTTAATTTTAATTTTATATTTACATTGTATATCAATGTATGATCATCCGTTTTCACTTTGTATTCATTTTGATTTTTAACCATGTCTCAATATTATCTAATATTTAAATTTAATTTTCTTACATATTTACAACCAAATATAATTATAATTATTCATATTGTTTTTTCACTCTCTATACTTCTATATTTGTTCTGCAATGTATGGTCTCTTATTTATATGTTTATATTTTACTTCTATGTACGTTTTACTTCTTTCATTTTTGTTTTTATTCACATTGTACTCTTATATATCATCTCTTAATTCTATTTTATATGTATATGTATATATTTATTATTTCATAGATATAGTATTTTCCCTTGTATCCATCCATATCTTCAAATTTTAGATACTGTAATTTTCTAGGTTTTTTCCCATTACCCAAACAGGTCAGCAAATTCCCCAATACCTACTCTTAACCTGATTTTTCAGTTTTAAGGGAAACTCCTAGCTGAACACAACTGTAAATCTCTATTTTTATTTACTTATCTATTTATTTTTTTGATTTTCTTTTCTTTCTCCACATCCTTTATGTCTATTATTTCGTATTATATCCTTTTTCCTTTTCTTTCAATCTCTCCTGTAGATCTGCAGAAGTATATTCACATTTGCATATATTATGTATTACACTACAACAATTGTTACCATCTATTTACTTCAGTTTAGGATCTTGTTACTTAGCTTACTCTGTTAATATTTTAATGTACTTACTGTTTATAATTTTAATTAGCTTATTCACATTGTTTATAATTTTTTGTCTGAATATTATGTAATTAACACAATTCTCTATATCTTTTTGTATCTTGTCCGTTCTAGCCCTGAGGAAGACCTGAAAAGTCGGGTTGAATCGTTGGTTTTTAATAAAATAGTTTTGCGACTATTTTGCCTATTTATGACCACCACCCCGGACCATCTCCTTCCTTTATAATGTAACGGTCAACTATTAAATATTAAATAAAAAAGTTATTATTGCACCATTATACTTTTTTGAAGCATAATTAATATTTTCTTGGTTTCAATTTGTTAACATTTTCTTCCATCATTGGTTTACATTTTATTCTGTCCTGTAATAACAGAAGAGTTAATTGGATCGTTTAATAGATACAGTTTTTAGCTATATATAACAATTTCTTCTACTTATTCATATATTTTAAAATAGGTCTTACTGATTCTTATGGTATTCTTATTACAAACAATGCTGCTAATGCTTGTCATTTTGTGTGAAGCTATGCATTGGTTTTCAATGTAAGAGTTGCCTTTGATACAATTATATCTTTGTTTTTTTTTTTGCTAATATTAGACATTATCTTGTTAACTATTGTTCAGTATCATAAAATTAATTTATTTATCTGTTTTTTTTTTTTTTTTTACTTAAATGAAAAAACGACTGCTTTTTCAGTACCTTACTACGAAAATGGTCCAGTTGGCAGACCTGTTTTCAGTTCCTGAAATGTGCCTTTTGTGCAATGTAGCTGAATATTTTGAAAGGAACAGTATTGATTATAACCCTCAAATATTATTTCAAGATGTGAAGGTTAATATTTCTAACATTTTGTATCATTATAATTCTGTGTACATTTTCGTTTATGAATTATTATTATTTTCTCTAGACCTCTGTTGGATCAAGTCATCCTGTAATGCATAAACATCTATTAACTGATATATCAGAGTACCTGGATACAAACCCAGGCCTCAGGGAATGGTTCAGAAAACTCGTCCAAGCTGGAAAAAAATTGTTTCTAGTAACCAACAGCCCTTATCAGTTTGTGTAAGTTTGTTTAAATTATACATTATTCATGTATTTAGATTCATTGGGTTAACTTGGATTATTAAGTAATTATAACAATTGGGTTGTCCGGAAAATAATGCAGGATTTTGAGTTTTGTTTAAAATACTCCTCTATATAACAAACTGTTTACGTTTACTGGATTATTTATTTGTATGAATGTCAACACTTATTAATCCTCTTCCAAATGGTAATGTTTGTTTAGCTCTGTAGCACTTCACTCCTTAGATATAATTCAGTTTTTACTAAGATGTCAATGCATGATTTTCTTATAATTTTGTTTTACGAGTAAACTCGGCCGGAATGGGGTCCAGACAGCCTGAAACATCAATCAAGTGTGATGCGAAAGCAGCATTACATTAATGAATGCACTGTAGCGGTGGTTCAAACCATTTAGGGAGGGAGACTTCAGCCTTAAAGAAAAAGAAGGTCGTGGATGGAGTGAGGGAAATTCCTCTCTTAATGACAATGTTCTGCGGGCTTTGGTGGAAGAAAACCAAGAACAACTGTTTGAGAACTTCGCCCATAGATGACCACTTTAAGGCGATTGGAAAGGTGAAAAAGCTTGAATGTTGGGTTCCACACACATTAAACCACCGTAAAAAAAAACCAGTGTTATGAAGTTTATGCTACACTTCTTTCCCGAAAGAAAAACGATCCTTTTCTGTTCAGAAATGTTACTTGTGATGAAAAGTGGATACTTTAAGATAACAGTAGACATTCTGGACCGTGGCTTGACAAAGTAGAAGCAACAGAAAATTTCCGAAGCCCCCCACTCATAAAAAAAAAATGTGATGGTTACTATTTGGTGGGCTTCATTTGGTTTGGTATACTACAGCATCTTAAATCCTGGTGAAACCATCAATCCCGAATCGTGTTGTAATCAAATTAATGTAATGTATCAAAAATTGGCAATAATGAAGCCATCTTTGGTCAATAGGAAGGAGACCATTTTGTTGCATGACAACGCCCAGCCACATGTCTCACGTGTCACGTCACCAAAACTGTTGCAGTTTCAATATGAAACACTGCCATATCTGTCCTCTCCGGATCTCTTGCCTGCAGATTATCATTTTTTTAGACACCTGGACCACTACTTACGTAACAAAAAATTTAATGGACAAAGGGAATCAGAAAATGCGTTTTTGGAGTGTATCAATTCTAAAGATGGGAAATTCTATTCTGAAGGAATGGAAAAATTACCAGCACGTTGGCAGAAATGTATTCATAGTAGTGGAGACTATTTTGATTAAATAAAACGGTTGTAAATGTTTCTTTTTTTATTTTTAAACCAAAATTCTGCATTATTTTTCGGAAAACCCAATATATTTATACAAGCTAGAATTTTCCTCCCTCTTGCATATCAGCCTAAACTAAGGACCTTTGCAAGTATCGCTTCGCCTCTTTTCTACCACCCTTTCTTCTTAAGTCGTCCTCCACTTTTTCTTTATTCCTTTATAGTGTTACACCTCGTTCGCATCTTTATACCTGTTCTCTCTTTTCTTTCCAAAGAATTTTTTTTTTGTTAGAAGTCTTGCTCTGAGCTGATTTCTATATTGACAGTTTCATCTGCCATTACAAGCCCCTTGAGTTCTTCTTTAAACTGTTTGGTTTACTACCACTTCGACTGTTTATTTCTTCCATATTTTTTATTTATGTCTACAAAAATACGTTTTTGTTTGATTGGGAATTCAAGTTTGGAAAAGAAGAAACTGTCAAGAGTGAGAAATTAGATGAAAAAAAAGTTAATCAGTTAATTTTTGTATGGATCTTTTTTTTTTTTTTTTTTTATCATTTCAATAATGGTAATATTTTTCTTTTGACCAAGTAGGATGCTTTCTTTTTCTTTCTTTTTTTTCGGACGAGTTTACCAATTAATTTTTGTGAGAAAGAACAATTTATTCATTATGATTTTTTGTACTTTCAGTTATTTCACATCCTAATTTTGTTTTTTTGACAAAATATTTGTGATCATAACATTTGTCTGTAGTCTGAGGCTTTAAATGAAAAAGTTCATAACCATCAAGTTGTGAAAATTAAGACCTTAAAAAGTGAAAGGTTAAACATTAAGTTAAATTTTGTTTGTTTGAATTTTTTAAACTATAATCATTTGCCTCATATACTCTTCATATTATTATTATTGTTCTTAATTCCTAGACTCCCATGGGTGGGACATAGGACTGTCACAAAGTTCTTAATCTTTAGAAAGCTTCCTTGATTCCAAGCCAGGTCTATCTGGCAATGTCTCCAGAGTTCGCCTTTATGTTCCCGTAGGCTGCCCCAGGTTTTCGTTATCCTTAGGGGTTCCTTTCAAGACTGTCAGGTTATGTCATGCTCCTTACCAAGTATGTGCCCCAGTTATCCTCTATTTCTAACATTTAATAAGCTAATCTATTGAGGCTTCATTAGACCAAGTTCATGACCAGAGCATTGGAAATTATTTCAGGCTGTATACACACTTCAAACAATATAAATACTCTTCATACAATATGAATGGAGAAAATGTATTTATTTTTTATTATTAACAGACACGCTACCACAGAATCCAACAAGGAGACTTAAACGTCTCTGGAGCAGGGATCTGCTACGTTAGAACTTCACGTTAGGTGTCTTCACTGGGAGGTTTCTCCAATCAAGCATTCTTGTTAATCCTGCAGGGGAAATTCACTGATGATGATCAAATTTACAATATATGCCAAAAGACATTTGTAAAATTTTCATTAAATAAAATATTATTATTATTAGTTTTTACGATAAACTACATTTAATCAAATAATAGAAAAATATTGTGTTTGTAGTAATCGAGGGATGCAGCTAATGGTGGGAAATGACTGGGAATCCTTTTTTGATGTAATTATTGTACAGGCTAGAAAACCGAGCTTTTTCACTGATGAGAGTCGGCCTGTCAGGATTTATGATAGAGAGCTTGATACTCATTTGTGGGATAAAGTTTCCAGGCTGCAAAAGGGATTTATTTATTATGAGGTATATATTACAGATGTTTCTAAGGTTAGTTAATATCAATAAACAATGGATACGGCTGTAATATTAATTTATGTGGAGTGATATATACACTGACAGACAAAAAATTCCACCCACTTGATTTTTTCATGTTTTCATCTAAAAATATTTCTGCTTTGGATCGGTCTATTGTTTTTAATGAATGAATAGGTAATCTTTTTGTTTGTTTTCAATTAGGAATGTTAATATAGAGGACAATAACACTTAATCCTTAATTCAATTAAATGATTCTAGATTCCAATGTTTACTTTCTATTGAATCAAAATGTTTATTCTGTATCTTTAGTTCAGTGCCGTTTCTTGCAGCACATTTCTTAGTCTCTGGCTTTTAATTTTTTCAATATTAATTTTAAAAATGCCTCTTAGTGCTGAGGATGTTGCTCGTGGCGTTCCATTAGATATGCAGCTAATGCCATCGGAGTTCCATATGAAACTTTACGAGACTCTGTCAGGTGTTTTCGGGAAACTGGTTCTTACAATAGAAGGCCCGGTTGTGGACGCCCTAGGGTAACAGAACCACGGGATGACCAGTTTTTGACTTTGAGAATTTTACGAAACCGCCACCTAAACGTTGTTCAAGCGATTCATCAGCTCGAAGAAGTTCGAGGTGTGCAACTTTCTGAACTTACCGCTCGGAGAAGATTAAATGAGTATGGATTAATGGCTTTTCTTCCAGTAAGAGGACCAGAGTTGACCAGAACTCATAGAGTAACACGGCTGGCTTTTTTTTTGCTCGAGAACACAGCCATTGGACTATGGACGAATGGAGTGCTGTACTTTTTACAGATGAGTCAAGATTCGCTCTTCGAACTCCAGACGGGCGTGAAAGGGTGTGGAGAAGAAGAAACGAAAGATATGCAGCCTGTAATTTTTCCCAGAGCCAACCTTTCCAACGTGGTTCCTTAATGGTGTGGGCTGGGATTTCAATGGAGCGCTGCACAGAATTGGTTGTTGTTCGTGGAGGGTCTTTGAGGGCCATTCACTATGTAGATGAGATTTTGGAACCTCATGTGTTGCCTCAACGAAATCGGCGATCGTTCTATTCTAATGCACGCCCACATGTCGCCCGCATAGTGCAGACGTTCCTTCAACAGAACAATATTGAGGTTTTAGCCTGGCCAGCACTTTCTCCAGATTTGAACCCCATTGAGCATTTATGGGATAACCTCGGAAGACGAATAAGAGCGCGTGCAACACTTCCTGATACACTGCATGACCTTGAAAGGGCTCTTCGGGAGGAATGGGCTATCCTTCAGCAAACGGACATTTCCTGACCGGTGGAAAGTATGCCGAGGCGTCTTCAAGAAGTAGTGAAGGCAAGAGAAGGAAACACGTGCTGCTAAACGATGATGTAATTAATTTCTTTTAGAATAATAATGGTTTGTTTTTCAATTTTTTTTTCTCTAATCTTTCTTAACAAATTACATTTTGATTATTAAAGTTAAAAAAGATTATAAAATTCCATAAATACTAAGTATTATCTACAAATACCATGTATTATATACAAACACAACTTTCTTTACAAGTAGGTGGAATTTTTTGCCTGTCAGTGTAAATATAAAAGTCTGTAATCCTGTTTTTTAATTTATTCTTTAGTTCTAGTTAAATTTACCCTATACTGGTGAATCTATGGAAAATGTCAAATTTGACCAGATTGGTTTTACAATTTTTTTTGTTGATTGCTGAATCACCTATCTATTGATATGAACCTCTTCCTGAAAATAAATATTAACATTATTATATAATATAATCTTTATTATATTGAAAAGATATTGATTTCTTTATTTTCCTGTCAGGGGACAGTTAACCAATTACAGGACCTAACAGGGTGGAGAGGAAGTGAGGTGCTGTACTTTGGTGACCATCCTTACAGTGATCTAGCAGACGTTACCCTAGAACACGGCTGGAGAACGGGTGCTATTATTCAAGAGCTTACGGTAAGTATCTTAGTTTTGCAAAAATGATTATATTTTATTTTTATAATATATTTAAGTATTTAAAAAAAAATAATCTTATAATTTAAAGACTTATGGTTTATTTATTTGCAATTGTATGTCTTTTGCTTGGTGTGAATTAATTCCATTTTATAGAATATTGTATAATATCTGTAATAAATCTTTTATAGTTTATTTAAATTTCTTATCTAATTTAAAAATAATTTCTCTTTGTTATTAGCATGAAATAGCTACATTAAATAAAGAAAACTTCAAGAAGAATTGTAATTGGCTTCAAATGTTAACCCAACTTATTGAGGAGTGCCAGGACGTGGACGAGATTGGAGCCAAAGAAACACTTGCTTCTTGGATGGCTGAAAGGGATCGTATAAGGTGAGAGTCTATTTATGATGTATCTAGTGAAGAATGTTAATTAAACTAATAATTTACATCATGAATTAAAAAAAATTAATTAAAAAATATTTTGAAAAATATTAAGATATGTAGACTATTCTGATAGATTATTCCTAAAAAAAAGAAATTAGGTGACTAAATTTAATACTATCTATTTTTATTGAATTTAAATTTAATACTTGGGATATTGCCTATATTAACTGTGAAGGGGAAGATGAAATCAGGCTTCTGTAAGAGATCCTCATTTTATCCAATATTTAATAAAAAAATCAATATTTCTTAAAATAATTAATAAAACCTTTCTATTTTATAAAAATCATTTTTTGTATTTGGAATGAATGAATGAAAAATAATTTTATCCTGGGACTGAAATCCCCTCAGAATAATAGCAGAGCCCAAAACATATGTACATCAGTCTGGAATTTAGATATAATACAGATATATATATATATATATATTTATATTTATATATAAAAAAAACTAGGAAAAATACAAACATTTTCAAAAAATACTAAGGAGAATACAAATATATACTTAAAAATAAAATAACTTACCAATTAGTTGCTGGTGAGGAACTGTACTTACACAGTCTAAAATTTCTTATAAGCTTGTGGAAGATTGAATGTGTAGTGGATGGTGGAACAGGGGTTGTTTGAAGCAATTTTCGGATGTAGTTTGATGCATGGAGATAGGTAAGGAGTTCCAAAAGATGTAGCACGAATGACGAAGGATTTGCTGAAGGAAGTGGTTTTATGGAAGGGAATATATAGATATCTATAGGTTGAGATCTGGTATTTAGAGATTGGATAGAGGAAAGTAGAGTAAGGAGTTTTAGGATGTTCTGAGGACTTGAAAAAGAAAAATACCAAGAAGGAACAGCCGTCAGGGAATGAGATAGAGCCACTTCAACTAAGTGTACAAGCTGGAAATATAAGAATGCCTAGGAATCCCAAAAATATATCTTATGAAACACTTCATAAGTCTCTTCAGTCTTGTGGACAGTCCTCCATACACCAAGCAACTGTAGTCAAATTATATATACATTTTTTTTTTAATATGTCAAACTTTTAATTTTTTTGTTTGTTTTGAAAGAAATCCTTTTTAATCAAAGCCGTGACTTCTGTACTTAAAAGTGTGTTGGTAATTGTTATATGACTGATGTTTATCATCTTTACAATTTCTAAACAACAAATGTGGAATTTTTCTTCCCATATTGTTTCTATCTATTTGCTGTTAGGCATGTTATTCATAAAGCACACAATTTAAACGCAGTTCAGGTTTATAATAATATGCTTTATTTATTTCAGCACAAGTTCCTTTTATAAAATACAATATTTTATAATAAAATACACTTACAGAACTCACAACTTTCATTTACCTCTCTACTTTGAATAAAAATTATTTTCTTGCAATTTTGACCAATTATTAAATTTTTGAAGTGCATTGTTAATGGTGCTGTAGCTTAAAGCTTACAGCTAACAAAACATTAAGACCACTAAAATAACAAAAACCCTATTAATCAAAAGTTCTCACACTAATTTTAAGTGGATAATGTTTAGATTTCACAAAGGGAAAATGTATCAAAAATGTATCAAATTATTGACTAATTTGATTTTCTAAAAGGTTACATGATGATTTTTCGGATTAAACGGACATTGATATCTAATTATTTAAATATAATATCAGATTTATAGTAATTAAACTATATTATTTAATGTATTTAAGATTATAAACAAATTTTTTATACATTCATGAAATATTTTTATATTTCACTTCTTCTTTCCATAAGTACTATGAAATAGTTGTTTAATCAATGCCTTTGCCTTCATTAGGTGGATTTTAAATCCTTTTTTTCAAACTTAAAAATAGTATACATTTAGTTAGTATTTCATTTAATTTTCCTTTTTTTTTATCCATTTATCAGTTATAAAATTCTTTCAAAAGTTATATTTAACATTTTTTCATAACTTAATAATGAGTTATAGTTAATTATTTAAAATAAGCCAAATTAAAGGTACTTTAGAGGAAGACATGTTGAACATTTAAGCATTTGAATGACATCAATGGGTATAAGATTTCAATGATATTAAAGACCACTTAATTATACAATGATACACTGAGTTTAACCAAAATCGTTGGAGCCGTTTTTGAGAAAATTGTAAAAATGTGTATAACCATTAATATAAAGTACCACTTTCGATTAGTCGATTTTAATGAAAAAGTTACTGTCACATTCAAGGCATATACCTGTCTTAAATACTTAATATCAGTTTTGTAAGACTTTTCGTTTTTGAGCTAGACTTACCACACACAGGGAGGGACACACGCAAACATGCACACAGACCATCTTGCGGGGCTTCGTTATTTAGACTCAGGGGACCTCAAAACGTGTATTTCTGTTGAAAACTCAGATTCAAACATTTTCAGGATCGCAATACTTAGCCTTACTATGTATTACACATATAGGTAAGTGAAAGTAAAAAAATTATAAGGTAACTTCTGTGATTAGTAAATTAAAAAAATAAATCAAAAAACTTTAAACAATAATAATTAAAATAAAACTAATACTTAGTAGACATATTTACAGTAACACCTATTTTTGGGAACTGGATGGACATGTAGTGATTAAATGGGTGGGATTTAAGAGCATTGGAGCCACAGATATAGCAAGAGATGGAGGTCAATAGGAATCAGGAACGAAAAATGTTAGGTCTGTCGAAAGCTGCAGTTTGGTGGGCCGTTATTTATTAATTTGAAGACCAAGAACGATTGCTTCAGGAGTGAATAAAGGATTTGAATATGTATGAGTGATGGCAGGATTTTATGATATGGAAAAGGAAAGATGCCAGGAAATACTTACGACTTCTTTGCATTCAACTTTAACTTGTTTTCGTTAGCTTCTGCCCAGTCACAGATTTTATTCAAGTTTTAAGGAATTTTGGTTGGTTCACTCAATAACCATAAACAATTGATTTATACAATTTAATTTTAGGAAAGAAAAACAATACAATGCTATGAGTAACAAAGTTAGAAAACACAAATACAAAAGAAAATAACATTAATTACAGAATGAAGAGAGAAACAAAGATAAAGTTTTATAAAGAAAAGAATACAATTATTAACAGATACTTACACGAGTTGCAACTCCAGAACAAATAATAATACCACGATGGGCCCAGGCATTTGTTATGCCGTTACATAAAATTATACAATCTTCACGTTATCGACAAACACAGTGATTCTTTCTATAACACACTCACACTCAATCGATATTTTGTGAATAATCGAACCTAGATCATTTATTTCCAAAGAGGTTGAAAAAATTAAAACTGGCTGCAGCACTGATTACTGTAGGCGTCATGACATCAGAAGAGGATTGTGGTAACAAAGTCTTCTTAAAGTTTTATTGTCATTGATCAGAAGACAGAAAGGATAGGTATATTTGGAAATCGTCAGCATAGATATTGTATTGAGAGTGATGGATCACAAAAGAAAGGTCATTAATGCAAATAGCAATCGGAGTAGGAGATATAGAGGAACCTTGAGGAGGGACTATTTTGTATTAAAATAAAAATAGCTAGCTATTTGTGTAAAAAGTATAATAATAGTGATATTGGTGGTAGAATAGATTGGAGAAAAATTCTTTTATTTCTTAGTTGACAACGAGATGTTATATTTTTTGTGCAAATCATTGTGTGATCCATCACTAATGCCTTTTTAATTTTTTTTAATATAGGAATCTGAAATTAGATTGTTTTAACTGACTTGTCGCTTTATGCTTAAAATGCATAACAGAGAACCTAGGAGCTAGGAATTATTACCTTTATAAACAAAATCTGGTGTAAAATTATAAACTAGTATAATTTTAGTTCCAGTATAATTCACCAGGATGTTTTTTTAACTGTTGAAAAAAAATTCAAGAATGGATTCTATTTAATTGTATTGCAGATTTTCCTTTTTTTATATTTATATGAATGGTAAATATTTCTGTTATGTTGAATGTATGTTATTTGTTAATTTATTTTTATATCAACTATTTTCTAGGAATGAGACGAAGAATGTGTTCAACCCTCAGTTCGGTTCAGTTTTCCGGACGTACCACAACCCCACCTATTTCTCTAGGAGGCTCTTCAGGTTTGCCGATATTTACACATCTAATGTTACAAATCTCCTCCATTTTTCAGTAGACCACGTTTTCTATCCGAGGAGAGGTGTTATGCCTCATGAATATTCTTCGTACTTTGTTTAGCTTTTATAAAAAAAATTTGATAGAGGGGAAAACAACAATTAAAGATGTTTTTTATCTCTATTTGATTCTATATCGTGAGTTATAATTTATTATATAATTATTATTTTTCTATCTACCCTCAATACGTTTTTGTCAGATAGACCATATTTTAAAATAACCTTCAAATAATTATTTTTGTTTTAGATTTCTTTTGTCATAACTGTCATTCCATTTTCCAATCATTACAGGGAGAACAGTTGCTATTAATATTTTCACTTCAATTTGTTTTATTATTATCGATAGTTTTTTAATGTCGGATGAAATTAATTTGTTATAATTAGTCCTCCTTTACGTAAATTAAATTACAGAGAAGTAATTTTTTTGAAATTTAACAAAAAAATACTTGATTATTAATAATAAATCACTTGATAATAGTGTTTATTTTATTTTCATTGTTAATGTAATAACATTATGAAATCAATATTTATTTGTTATTGTTCAATATTATTTATATTTTTTAAATGATTGTTGTATTATTTCTACGGAAGAGATAACTTAAGAACTGATATTTCTTTGAGTTTTATCTGATATTATGGTTGTTTCAAAATATTTTAAACTTTTCAACCTGATAAGTTTGAGTTGTAAAGTTTTTTCAAACACCAGCCTTTAATTAAATTGGGTTGTGTTTATTAAATAAATATTTATGAAAAATCATTTAAGATCTGCTGTATTTAATTTTATAGGTTAATTTAAATTAATTATTAATTTGCTCATTCTTACAAATATATACTCAGCTCTAGTCTAGCAGTAAAAAATACTTTTGCGATTGAATCATCAGTAAATTTTAAGATAACACAAAAAGTTATAAAACATATCATCTTCTTTGAACGGCATCTTGAAATGAAATTTCTATATCTTTAATGCCCACTTCTTTTTAGATTTTTAATTTTATTTAGATGTATTAAAACCACAATATTATAATAAGTATAGTATTGAAATAACAGTTCTACTAATTTATTTTTACATCATATTATATTTCATAATTTAGTTTTTTATGTTTTTATTTATTATGACCTGGAATTCTGATATATTAATGTTGACTCTTGCGCATATTATATTGTTATGATTAGTTCAAATTATATGAAGGTTACTTGTGTAGTATCTATATTAGTCTACACATGTTAATTTTTGTTGATTAAAAATGTATTTTTATGCATCAAACATAAGTTATTAAGCCTCCAGGTATGAACTTCTGTTATCAAGTTGGATTTTTTAGAGCAGTCCTCATCCGATTTTTGGCCTCTATTGAACTTTCTGTAACAAAATATCTTGTTCTTAGTCGTGGTTTCCAGACTCTTGCTATCCGATTGTTAATATTTGAGGCTTTTTTTTTTCTATTTTCTTCATTTGTCTTGTGCGTAATTACCTACTTTAGTTTCAAATTTCATCTTCAAACGTACTCAAAAGAGTTCTTCTAATGCCCTTTCATATTCAGCTTAGACATTGTTCTTATTAAGTCATTTAGAATCGGATTCTTTATGTAGCATTGTTCATTTTTAATTTCAGTTTTGGAATATAATTTAGTACTATTTAAGGAGAAGTAAAAATCATCGCTCCACCATTAGTATTTTCATTTTTATGGCATGCAAAGATATGACTGAAGTGCAATCTAGTCGTTTTCAGAGGTTTATAAAATGTTCTGCTCCAAATACGAGGTTGTATGTGTAAATGCCGCGTTAGTATTAGTATTAATGATTAAAATAATTTTTTACTAAATCGGACTATATCTTATCATCCACTTGTAAATTGTTCTATTTTAGAATACGATTCCTTTTCTAAAAGCCATATTTTTTTTTTTTTTATGTTTAATGTGCAGAAAAACAGTACATATTTTAAATTGTTATTTGTTTATCAGTTTTTAAAATTGAGAAAAGCATATTGATTTTTTGTAATAATGATGAATTGAACAAATTAGCAATTTTCGGATTTGTGTCTTTTTAAGTTCTTGACATAGTTACCTATATCTAAAAAATGGTGAGTCTATAACATCCATATTTGTACCTTGCTGATTCCAATTTAACAATCGCAATAACATTACTTTCTACAATGTCTTGCTCTCTTGAAAAGTGGTGAATTGTTGAATTCACCCTTTTTACAAACCAACGCTCATTCATTTATGAGAAAAATGAGTTAGGAAGTTACCAGAGAATGAGTGGTAATAGTTTACTTACATCATTTATAAATAAAAAAAAGTAATAGGGGTGTATTGGCTTATGCGATTTATGTATTACTATGAGCCAATCAAACTTGTCAAATGTTCTCCTAAATTAAAATGTTTTACTTGGTTACGGACTTACACGGTCTAAAGTGTCATTAAATAGCTCGAATAAAAATACTTGAAAAATAATTTATTACACATAAATATATATTTCTTGGTCAAGAATAATTGTTTGTTGAATTTCAAAAAAATAATGGTTTTTTGTAATTATCCTCATCAGCTACCCAGACCTTCATCATAAATTTTTATTTTTATTCTTAATAAATGGACTACTTGATGAATATTTTTTAAAAAACATAACATTACCAATACCTTTATATTTCTAATAATTATATATGTTATGAAGCACTATAATTGTTTCAACCTGATAGTTATGGTTATCATCTGTTATCTTATTATCTGTATGATAAGCGATTAAAAAAGTAAGATGGATATTAGTATTGTGAAGATAATTTATAATAATTATTTTTATTGTTACCATTTATTGTTACCAGCATCACTTATAAACTCTAGTTACCATTTTAGCGGTGACGCCATGACATTGTGCATCAGTAAATAAAATAAATGGCTTTACTTTATGAAATAAATTTTTATTTTCTTAGAATAACACATAAGAAATTAAAGTATATTGTAACCTGAAGTGCCTTTACTACCTCATAAAACGATCATTGCCATTCTTGTTCAATTACGTTGTTATGAGATTTTAACTAGTATAACATAAGTCATTATTTTAAGCAAAATAAATTTTTATGAATGTCACCATCACATTTAATGTTACTTTGTTATTATTCCAATTATTGTTGTAGTCATAAATATAGTTTTATTTTCTATGTATAAAATCAAAAATTATTTCAGGTTGTTGAAATTAAATAGAATTGTAAAATTGCCATTAAAATAAATATAAAGTAGTATTCATTTCTTTCCTAAATTCAATGTAACCTTAGTTATAATGTATTATTGAGTGTTGCCAATTATATTTTATGGCAATAAATCTATTTTAAATTGAAAACAATAAAATATTTAGGGGACTTATGATTGGTTTTTGCCAATTTACAACTTAAGTAAAGAATATCTTTGTCGTCTCTTTCAGCATTCGTCATAACTTTTTTATGTTTTTCCACAGTTTTTACTTGTTGTGAATCATTTTCCATGACTTCCTAGGCTGCTCATGTCTGGATGATTATCGATTTATTTAAAAACCAAAATCAAAAATTTCGATATGGTAAAATGAAATGAAAAAATAATTTTATTCTGGGACTACTGTCCCCTAAGAATAATAACAGAGTTACAAATTTATGTATCTTAGTCTGACATAATAAAAATAACAACTAATTTATTGCTAATTGTTATTTCAATTGTGCAATGGTACTTCAATCTTCTTTAATAATTTAAAATTGACATTTTTCTTTTAATTAATGATTAAAATAAAAGGAATCTATTGTTTAGATATAATTAGAAAACTTAATCTCAATTAGTAATCAATAAGGTAAATTCAATATATTGCCAATCCAGACATCTTTCATCAGGACAGAAATAAATAATTTCACATCTCACATCCATAGTATATTAAAAGATTTACCGATTAAAGATAGTATGTCCATAGGCATCGGAACTTAGAAAATATTAGGGGTGAAGGTCAGTTAAATTCATTAACAATGGTAATGCTTCATTCGTAAGGATTTTTAGATGGATGTTTCCTGAACTCTCTGCAGACAGGGCCATAAAAGATACTGAGATCTGGTACATTAATTAATTAATCATCTTGTCCAGTTCATTGGATACACAGATGACATTGATATTACAGAAAGGTCATTAGAAGCTGTTAAGGGTGCATTTATAGCACTGTAGAATTCTGCAGCTAAAATGGGGTTACTGATAAACTTTAGTAAAACCAAATACCTCAATGCGAATCCTACAGGGTATAGTCAGGTAATAAATATAATGATAGAATCATGAGTGCCCATCCACCCTCCCCGCCCAAACTATATGGCGCAAGAACATACCCTTCCCCCCTCTCCAAGTTATTTTATTGGCCATCTTTTCTTAAAAAAGAGAAGATAGAATAGAAAAAATCCTAGATTATAAACAATTACACTTACTGCGGTCTGTTCCATGTTTTACTCTTGGGCCTTAGTCTGAACTTTTCATCTCGAAAATTCATTCATAACTCCATTGAAATGTGTCCCTCTAGAAAATTCAAAAACCCCTCAAAATATGTCGCCCTCAAAAATTTTGATGGCGCAACTTGTGCCATAAAACTCCCTTCTGGGCACTCCTGAATTGAATGCCAGGTAATCAAAAAGGTTAAGGAGTTCATATACTTTGGATCACAGGTGAACTAAAGAATGACATTAGTGCAAAAATAAAAAGGAGTATAGTAGCCACTGACCAGTGCTATTTCAAACTGCATAATGTTCTCCGAAGCAACCTTATATGGAAGCCCTCAAAAATACTTATTTCTATAGCTCTTATCTGACCTGTACTGATTTATGGCTCTGAATCATAGTCAATTCATCTAGCATCCATATTCAATTTCACCAGTGCTTACATGAGAAAATATTTTTTTGGCCGAATTTGAATGATGTGAGGAGCGCTTGGTGAAATCTTGCTTCCAACGCCTAAAACCCTCGCAGCCGCCTTGACAACAGCCATTTATCAAATATAATAAAATACAAACAGGCTGTGTCTTTTATAGAGCATAGTTGCATGTGGGATTTTAAAACTGTTAGTAAAAAGTTTGATTTGCTGATTTTTGTAGAATGGATAAGGGATTAAAAAAGGAGTAGGGGCTGCAAAAGATTATCTACCACAGCAGGATCAGATTGAATTATAATAGTTTTTGTTTCATTACTATTGACGTCTATAATATTTGTTAATGCAATAATCCTCTTGATTGATCGCCTTCTCATAGGCCTTGGCATTTGATATCATGCTACTGTGCCATGTAATTAATTACTCCCGAAGGGTTCCGATAGCGTGATTTGTAGATTGAGTCTTTGTTTATTTATTTGTATTTAATAAAGTTCCTGGATCATTTTAGTATTGTCATTATTCTCAGTTTTTAGCAGATAACAAGGAAGTTTCTTTTTCTTTTTTTAAACTTATATTTTCTATGTTTTATGA